GCGGCGGCGGCGCTGGCCTCTAGCCGGCTCGCTCGCTCCCTCCGCGGCGCTTACACATGTGTTACTGACAGAGCAAAATCCCAACTACTCCCCGGCTCTGCCGCCGACGTCAGCGACCCTCAGCCACTGGGCGGCCGGATTGTTCAGGCGGAATAATAAAACCTGCCAATCCGGGGAAGGACAAAGGGATGACTGAAACGAGACTCTAGGGGCGGGGGAGAGAAGGAGGCGGCGGAGCGGGCCGGGGAAGGAGAAGGGAAGGGCCGCAATCAGGTGGGGAGCGGAGACCCGGGCGCCAGGGCCCCCGCCGGGGCCGTACTCTGCGGCCCGGGCTCGCGAGCCGAGGCGCGGGGCGCCGCTGCTGCTCTCCCAGCGCGCGGACGACCCTGGGGACCCGCGCCCGCCCGCCCCTCGGGGACCGCCCTCCCCTCGCGCCGACGCGAGCCCCTTAGGAAACTTAACTTCGCGTCTTTCCCAGAAATGGGTCTCTTCCTGTTTGGGAAGAAGAGTCTTCCCGAAATCTTAGGGCGGTGGACTTCACGCACACGCAGAAGAGGTTTTGTTTTGGTTTTTTAATTCCCGGCGTTCGAGATTGATGAGCCTTAGTGGAAGTTCAGTTAACAAGGTAAAGACAGAATCGGTAGTTCTTAAATACTGCCCACGTATCCCTATGCTCCCCATGAGCCCGAGTACGAACCAAGAACCTCGTAGGCATTTCATGGATATTGATCAATTGTTGGTGATGGAAAGATCACAGCCTTTACTTTGGAAGTTGAGGGAAACTTCGGGGAGGAAGTGTTGCCCTCTATCCACCCCACTGTGGAGGATGAGGCCTGATGATTTCTGATAGCCCCCGAAAGCAACAGAAGTGATTGCAACATTCTTAATCTCACAGCCTCTGGGGAGTAAGAAAGGTCACGTCTAGTATATATTTAACTGTTGAGGAATGCTTTTAGGGTGCTAGCCTGAGAGTCTCTTTCCAGGGCCCAAGCTCAGCCTAGATGTTTGAATACCTCGTCATTCAACTTTATCTACTCTGCCAAATAGGTTTAATAAATCTCTGATCTGAGGCTAATATTAGGTCTGATTATTATTAGTAAGTTCCAGAGAGATTTTTCTGGTGGAAATTATCATGAAAGTGCAAAGCCCTTCTGCTAAGTATCATTAAGTAAAACCAGCCTTGTGGGACATGTTTTCATATTGTATTACGTACAGTACTGCTGGATTGAGGAAAGGGACCTGCAGAAGAATCTGGCTAGACAACGCAGTCGTTAAACATCTATGGTTTTAGTGTCTGTTTGGGGGATTTCTGTCTTTCAAACCATCAAAATTCAGGCTGCAAAAGAAACAGTAATCATTGCCTGTAACATCAAGCAGAGGACATTTTAAATACCAATTAGAATACTCATTTCTTTATATTTCTAGCACCTCAAAATTAAACGACTTACTTTTATTGATTGGTATTTAAAATTGCATTTTTATGATCAAGTCACTTTATGCACGTATGAGAAACATTTAAAAAAAATGATTTAAATGTAATAGTAATTAAAATGCCCTGTACAGAAAACAGCTGCAGATGGGTGTGATTAAAGAAGGCCATCTTAAAAAGATGTGATGTTCCTTGAAGATTAGTAAAGAAAACTCAATTAAACCAAATGAGGAAAGGAACCCCATAAACAAATAATGCACACATTTTAATTCCCTGGTTCAGTTTCAATTTGTTAATAATTTATAATAATCAAAACAAGATGACACAAGATCTTAGTGGGATTTTATGAGGGTTTGATTAAGTTATGATTTGTCATGTACGAGTAAATTTACTGCTGTGGCCCTTAATTTTCTCATCTACAAATGAAGGAATTAAGCCAAATGGTCTTTATTTGTCCTTTTTTCCTAAAATGATTTTCTTAACTAGAACGCATAATATATAGGTCTGTAATGAATGGTGGTACTTCAGGCATTTCCTGAAGTATGTGCACTAAAAGGAAATCTTTATTTTAAAATGAAATGTTAGAAATTTAGTCAGACGTCGGATATCACTGAGTGATTATCCAAAGCATCCATGTAGTTTTGTGGAAGGAAGGAAGGAGAAAAGCATGGCTGAAATTTTGAATACAGATCTCTAGGCAAGAACAGGCCTAGGAGGTGGTTTCAGTGTTTTGGCTCTAATAGTGCGTGGAGCGAGGTCTTTACACATGTCCCGGTAGATTGGAGTGGGTGGGAGTATGTTACCAGAGAGCTTTATTTGCTGATGTTGTGGTTATAGAAATACAAAAGCGATAATGGCTAACAGTCTCTCTTCTGAGGGGTAAGGAAGTAAATACATTCACTGTAATCAAAATTCAGGTGTACTTTAACCACAGCGCCACCTCTCGGTAGTCTTTATTTCTGCATTCTTTGCATTTGGCAGGGCTCTCTCCTTGGAGTCGCAAGACCTGTGGTCTGAAAGCGCCGGCTTAAGTGAGATAGCAACGTCAATCCTCTATTTCCACTGATGCTGAACTCACAGAAACTGTGTAAACACACACAAGTTCATTGTGAATGAGGAAAATCTGTGTTCAGGTATTCCTTAAACGAGTAGAAAACAGTGCTCAAAGTCATAATCCTGGTATATAGTAAAATTGCCTAAATGCAAAGTGATAATGGTATATTATGCCCCATAGTTCAAGAAAACACTGCTGACATCATACATGCCTCATTTAGCCTACTCACCTACGGCGAAAAATAAGAATACAGGGTTTGGGAAAAGAAAGAGAAAAAGTGTTTCTTTTTTGAATCCTAATTAAATACAGGAACCATACTGATCCTAGATCAAACCCTCATTCCCCAGACTCACCCCAAAATGATTTGTCCATATCTTCCCTTCTTCACATTTAAGTCCTGCAATCATAATCATCTTTCCCTTCTCCCCTTCTCCGAGTGACAGTTCTAGGAATCTCCCACGGACGGCCAGAAGTTCTACACAGACCCACGTTCAGCCTTCCGTGCCTAGAGAACAGCCAGACTATTCCATGCTGATACGGCAACCTCCCTGACAGAGTGCCCCCCGATGTTTCTCAAGAAAAAGATAATTTTAGGGGCGCCTGGGTGGCTCAGTTGGTTAAGTGACTGCCTTCGGCTCAGATCATGGTCCCAGGGTCCCGGGATCGAGCCCTGAATCAGACTCCCTACTCCTCGGGGAGCCTGCTTCTCCCTCTCCCCCTCTGCCTGCCACTCCCCCTGCTTGTGCTCTCTCTCTCTCTGTCAAATAAATAAATAAAATCTTTAAAAAAGAAAATATTTTAAACTTTTAAAGTCAATGCAAAACTGTGTTTGAAGGCAGCCTGTTTAGGAAGAAAAAAAAATCTTTTTAAATCTGCCTACCTTTATTGCTGCCATCCCAGAGACCTCTTGAAATCAGAAGGTTCAACCAAGGTGAATCTGAAAAGCTTGAGTCTAGGACAACAATTCCAAAGTGTAAAAGAGGGAATGGAAGGTACTGACAGATGTAACAGGAAAATCCAAGGAGGAGGAATGGCAGTTAGGTCCCTGCCGGTGTTTTATGGTGGTGGTGTTGGCCCGGAGGCGCTGCCGAGTAAGTAGAGGCTGAGAGATTGCGGTCTCCTTTAAGCACAAAGGTTTAAGGAGAGCTCAACTTCTCTGAAAGACTACATCTCAAAGAACCATAGCTTGGCTTTAAACACTGATAATAATACTTCAAATTTACTGACTGCCTTTTGTTCATATTTCTCAAAATTTCTTGTAAATATCTCACTAGATGTTTCCTGTGGTAAAGGAATAGGTAGTTGCCATGTTAGAACATTCTTTTTCTTTCTTTCTTTTCTTTTTTTTTTTTAAGCAATCCCAGTGTCTACATTTGGTAAATGTCCCACCAAATTATGTTAATCGGTACTTTGAAAGTTCTATCCTAACCTCTCTTTTGGTAGGGTAATGTCAAAGCATAGCGAAGAAGTTGATTTGATCACAATAAAATAATTAAAAGATCGCGAGGAAAATGAAACAGCATTGATATTGCTGTGATTAGAAATATAATTTAAGATGTAGATTTTGCTTTTAATTATTCTAGTTGATTAGGACATTTGAAACTCCTGGAGATGACGGGAAAGGTGAAAAAAGATGATGGGAAGGAAGAAAATAACATCTGTGTGATACATAATTTTGCCTGATACAGCAAGGCCACTTTTATTAGAGTGGCAAGAAATTACTCACTTTCTTCATATGTGTTTATTAGGGTAGGAACAAGACCTTAAAAATCCCCCAAACCTGCCCCGGAACTACATCAAATTTTGATATATGAATATATTCCATAGTGATGATATCATAGAAAAATTATTTGGCTTACTCACACTACCTATTTCTAGGACTGAATTCTGTCAACATTATTCAAGTGATATTCTGCATATATCATTGCCGATAAATTATCGGACTGTATATGTGAGTATATTATATGTTTATTAGGGTCTTGTGAATGGTCTAGCTGGTTGACAGGCTATGCTTATTGAAGTCGAATTAAATCTTATAACGGGTAAATTTAATTTTGTAATAGTTACAAAAGAGGGTATGTAGATGACTGGGCCATTTGTGAATATGTGAGGTGGTTATTAGTAAGAATATATATTAAAATTATAAATCCAGTAGAAAATAGCAATTTCATTCAACATTAATTACTGTTCCTCTCCAAGATGATGGAAATGAGCATTTATTGATAGAGAAACTAAAGCATTAAAACATAATTCATTCCCCCTTATGTTCCCACTAACTGTTCTTGGTAAAAGAAAGGCTAATAATTCAGAAGTTTCAAGTGCCCCAAACCATAGCTTCTTTAGTTAGTGTCACTTTTAATTACAGTATTGATATAATCAAGCTTTCTCTCTATGTAGATTTGTAATAAAATGTAATATTTTAAAGTATAATACTGGTCTCTGTTTGCTCACAAAAAAAGTTGATGAAAACATGATAATGTTTATTCATCTAATTGTAATGAATGACCCTGGTGGAATTACGCGAGTTCAATCCATAGCTGTCCATAGACTTGAAAAACACGTATTTCTACTCTACACAGTGCCATAAATTTTTTAGCATAAAAAGAACAACCAATATGGATTTTTTTTGAATAATAAAATTGGATAACTCAATTGACTAAAATGTGTTCCCTCCACGCAGAGGTACACATTATAAAGTCATCATTTATATTTCTCAACATAAATCAAATTTCATAATAAAATTGTTTTTGATGAATCACCACTTCTTTTCTGGATTCAAAACATTCTGACAGAGAAAGCAAATTTGTCGATTTCTCTGTCTGATAAGAAATCACTGAAAATATATTTAAGACCTTTAGTCTAAGATGATAATTTTTAGAGGAACGTTTCCTTTAAAAGGGAAATATTCAAACAAAGTCTTAGACTTTCTTTCCAGCATTTTTTCAGAGCCATCTGTTGTGTTCACTGACAATAAGGGCAAGAGAAGTCATTACAGAACAATACTCTGGAAACAATTTGCTTCAAAGAAAGAATGAAAACTTAAACAACACTACCTTTCTACATGTTTGTTCTAATTAGAGGGTTAAAACATCCAAGCATTGTACCCAGGCGCTTTTCTCTGTCCTGTTTTTATTGCTTTTCTCCACTGAGATAACATTTAACACTGCATTGAAATTCCTACTTACTGCTGTGTCCAGTAGTAAATCCTGGCACATTATTAGAATATCTGCCTGTTATCAGCTCAGTCAGGGAATGAATTATTGACTATAACTCATTGCTGGGAAGACTACGTATGACACTCCAGTGAAGTTTTGATAATTTCTAGAAGTCGTGGTAATTTATGGAAGGGGGTTTTGATTGATCTCCCACCACCTATTTTGCACCTATCAGTAAATAGGACACATATTGATGGCCTACTTGAACCACATTAACAATACAGGGAATTCACAATTTAAGCATTTCTCTTTTTTTTCCAGTACAATTTCTATTAAGACAGCAACTCCATTTCTATTAATTTTCTTATGTGTGGTTTACCCATGGGAGTGGGGAATCACAGATTTAGACTACTGAATGCATAATATTACTATTCTAGTAATTATTTGGATCTTTTCCGCATTTGTAGTTCTATGCAGCATCTGTCTTTTGGAAAGAAAGCCCTGAGACCATTGGCACAGATGAGGATGGAACAAAATGGGTACTGTGAGATTTTAAAGAATGTCTTCAAGTGTGAGCATACAGCTGATAGAATAAAGGAGAATGTTTAAAATTAACAGAGAGTAGGCAAGTTACTTATTCTTTGAAAAAAAATGTAATATATTTGATATAAAACTTACAGACACCATATAATAGGATACAGTGGTCACTTCCAAGTCCATCTGTCAGAACATTAAGTAATAATCACTAACAGTCACAACTTCTGTTTAATTTAGGTTTATTTTCCTCCTCTCTCATTTTTGCTGCATTCTCCAAATTCAATTATTTCTCAGAATAAACTCTACTAGACAAATGGTTCCTTTCTTTCTTTACTGAGTTTTCATCATTGTGATTTCATTATTGTTTTATTTACTACAACAATTGCTTCCTGGAAAAATAACCAGTATTTTCAAGTCCTCAATATATACCATACAATAGAGCAGGCAATATAAATAATAATTCAAAGTTTAATGGTTATTTCTGAGATGACATTTAAAGCATGTCTAGATTTATAGAAATTTCAACTTATACCCAAATAGTATTTAGCAATCTGATACAAAAATAATGGTGTCTTTCTTGCCAGTGCCATCAAGATTGGGGGCAGGTGATTTGACTGAATACTTGGCTTAAAGAAAATAATTCTTTCTTAATTTTATCTTAATTTAGTAGCTTCTAGCAGTCATCTAAACAATCTTAAAATTAAAAGATAATGTTAATGGGAGAGACTGTTGTCATAGGATAATGGTTTCCTGCTGCTAGATTAATGCAGTGGCAATAATACTGGAGCATTTATTGAAAATAAAGGGGGAAGACAAAGCCAGGAGATTTATTTTTAAAGCAGGTGTCATGGATCCTATGACACTGTTGTCTTATAATTACTTTGTTTCCATTTTGCCAAATGGCTGATGGAGATGATCCCTTTTCCCGATAGATGTGGGGTGGCAGAATGACATTGGCTGGTATCTCCATGACTGGAGAGTGCATCCTTTCTAAGTGGAGGGACAGATTTGTTGTGCTTCTTCCAATCAGAAAGCACCTTCTAAAGGCTGTGCCATTTAAAGAAACAAACACCAAAATGCACAAATAAATGTGTTCTTTATCCAAAAAAAAAAAAAAGGCAAGCATCTACCTAACACTATTATCATTCATTCTAGAAACGTTAATATGCCCCTGATATTGACAATCCCAAATACATCGCTTTCCAGCAAGCCCCAGGAATGTCCTACAGGACAAAAGCTGTGTGCATGGATTTTAGCCACTGTGATCAACTGTCCTGGACTTATCTTCTTTTAATGCATATGATAATCTTGGGCCAAGTAATAGACTTCTCCAAGTGGAATCCTCACAGAAATGCTGTGGTAGTTGCAACTGTACGATGGTCCCTAAGATTCCCACCCCCTGGTGTGCACACCTTGTATAATCCCTTCTCCTTGAGTGTGGGTGGGCCTGGCTTAATCAGTTGAGTCTTTTTAAAAGAAGGTCTAGAAGTCAGAGATGGAAAAAATCAGACAGATACAAAGCTGCAGAAGATGTTTTCCCATTGGCCTGGAAGGAGCAAACTGCTGTATGTGAGAGACATCGCGGAGGGAACATGGTAAGAATGGGAGGGTAGCCTTTAGACGCTGAGAGCATTCCCTGGTGAAGAGCTAGCAAGGAGATAAAGACCTTAGACCTGGAGTTGTAAGGACATGCGTCCTGCCAACAACCAGTGAGCTGGGAAGAGGACCTTGAGCCTCAGAAGAGATGGCAGTCCTGGTTGACACCTTGCTTTCAGCCTGGCCAGACCCTGAACAGAGAACCCAGCTATGCCAGACCCGACCTTCCAGCCCACAGACACTCTGAGATAATAAACGGGTATTGTTTAAAGCCATTTATCATCATTTGTTTTGCAGCAATAGAAAACTAGTGACAAGGCTGTGAGAAAAAGCCAAAGAAGATATTCTGTTGCCACCTCT